AGATGATGAACGCATTATTGATAAGTTCTGGTTTGCCACAGAACTTGTGGGGGGAAGCCGTTCTTACGGCTAGCCGAATACTAAATCGAGTACCCCATAGCAAAACACAATCCATTCCATATGAAAAATGGAAAGGAAGGAAGCCCAACTTGAATTATTTTAAAGTGTGGGGGTGTTTGGCAAAAGTGCAAGTTCCTAAACCCAAAAGGGTAAATATAGGACCGAAAACCGTTGATTGTGTTTTCATAGGATATGCGACTAATAGTAAAGCATATCGATTTCTGGTTCATAAATCAGAAAATCCCGACATTCATAATAATACGGTTATAGAATCAGATAATGTTGAGTTCTTTGAAAAATATATATCCGTATAAAAAGGAATGTGAGTCGATTGGTGAAGGATCTAAACGACCCCGGGAAGAAACAAAAGAAAGTACACTTAACCAAGAGGATCCAAGACGTAGTAAACGTCAAAGAACGTCTACTTCATTTGGACCAGATTTTGTGACTTTCTTATTGGAAAATGAGCCTCAAACATTTAAAGAAGCTATGTCTTCTTCGGAATCATTGTTATGGAAAGAGGCGATCAATAGTGAAATAGAATCCATACTGAACAACCATACATGGGAATTGGTTGATCTTCCTCCTGGAAATAAACCGTTGGGTTCTAAATGGATCTTTAAGAGGAAAATGAAAGATGATGGCACTATTGACAAGTATAAGGCAAGACTTGTGGTCAAAGGGTATAGACAACGAGAAGGTCTTGACTATTTTGATACATACTCTCCAGTTACAAGAATTACATCCATACGAACGTTAGTAGCGTTAGCTGCAGTTTATGGTCTTGAAATTCATCAAATGGATGTTAAGACGGCCTTCTTAAATGGAGAGTTGGAGGAAGAAATTTACATGGAACAACCTGAAGGGTTTGTGGTTCCAGGTAAAGAAAAGAAGGTCTGTAGACTTGTTAAGACCCTTTACGGATTAAAACAAGCACCCAAACAATGGTGTCAAATGGATTTAAGATAAATGAATGTGATAAATGTGTGTACATTAAAAATGTTCCAAATCACATAGTCATTGTTTGCTTATATGTGGATGATATGCTCATAATGAGTAATGATATTGCCAATATAAATGCTACTAAGCGTATGCTAACTAGCAAGTTTGATATGAAAGACTTGGGAGTTGCTGATTTAATTCTGGGAATTAAGATCCATAAGACTTCTCAAGGTCTAGCATTGTCACAATCTCATTATATTAAGACAGTACTTGAAAAATTCAAGCACTTGGGCTTTAAAGTTGCAAAGACTCCAATTGATGTGAATCTTGCATTAGCAAAGAACAAAGGCCAGAGCATATCACAATTGGATTATGCTCGTGTGTTGGGTTGCTTAATGTACATCATGAATTGTACACGACCAGATATAGCTTGTGCTATAAGTAAATTGAGTCGATATACGAGCAATCCAGGCCAATCTCATTGGATGGCCATGAAACGAGTTTTGGGGTATTTAGTACATACCCAGGACTTTGCTTTGCACTACAATAAATATCCTGCGGTCATTGAGGGATACTGTGATGCAAATTGGATCACCGGATCAACTGATTCCAAGTCCACAAGTGGATATGTATTCACTATTGGTGGAGGAGCGGTATCTTGGAAGTCATCCAAACAAACTTGTATTGCCCGCTCTACAATGGAGGCTGAGTTCATATCCTTGGATAAAGCCGGTGAAGAAGCTGAATGGCTCCGGAATTTCTTGAAAGATATTCCATTTTGGCCCAAACTGTTGGCACCAATATGCATACATTATGATAGTCAAGCGGCAATTGGAAGGGCTGGGAGCGTTATGTATAACGGTAAGTCTCGCCATATACGACGAAGACATAAAACCGTTAGACAATTACTCTCTAGAGGAATTATCACGATTGACTATGTAAAGTCAAGTGATAATGTGTCGGATCCACTTACAAAAGGCCTAACTAGAGAGGTAGTTGAGAAGTCATCAAGGGGAATGGGACTGTGGCCGAGAACAAGTCATAGTGGCGGTAACTCTACCTAGAAGACTGGAGATCCCAAGATCTAGGTTCAAGGAGATCAAACAAAGTCATTTATGACGGTTCAACATTGTCAACTAAACTTTTGGTCCATTCTCGTGATGAGACAATGTTCAGTACCAAGGATAAAGCATTAAGGTTTTTTAATGATTTCTAAATTTGATACGGGGTACATCAAATAGTGTATCTACGGGATGACACGTTTAGGAATCACCTATGTAAGTGTGAAGTGTTAGCCGCTTCAAGGAGAACATTGTAAGGCCAGTTCTCTACGCACTTATGAAACCAGGCGGTGTTCATGGCTGAAACAAACACAACAATGAGAACCAAAGACGGTTAAGGGTTGGTTGTGTGACTTATGGTTGTCTAGGTATACACTAAAGTTCGACGGTTCAAAGATATCAAATCCACCGATTGATCGAGTATATCCGACATAAGTTCACTACGGAAAGTTCAAAGGGAAACCTACTTATCCAGATGCAATTAATCCTTACTTGCGAATCACACAGTTTTTCATGCATACTTCCGTGATATAGCCATTCCCCATTCATGTGGGGGATTGTTGGGTTTTGGATGTATTTAATTAATATATATATATTAAATACTTAAAAGAGGGTGAATGGGAAATGGAGGAAAATGAAATTTTTGAGTGAAATTTTAAGTTCTCCCCCTTGGCAAATGGGCATTGTCCCATATTGGAAGAGGAAGAGGTTTTTTATGGGTATATAAGCAATTGCTCTTCTTCTAGCTCTTAAAGAGTTGAGAAGAAGGCAAGCCTCGCGCCGTCGTCGTCGTCGCTCGCTCGGCTCGGCTTCGGCTACGGCTACGGCTTCGGCTTCGGCTTCGGCTTCGGCTTCGGATTCGGATTCGGATTCGGATTTGGTCAAATGATTGATTGATTAACTTTTTGGACCAAATTTATTTGTTAATAGTAAAATATTAACAGAAATGTTATTAAATATTTGTTTTAATAACAGAATATTAATATTAAATCCAATCCGGTTTTCTGTTTTGGTAACAGAAAAGTAACTACCCTCTTCAATTTTCCCTCTTTATTTTCCCTCTTTATTATTGAGTAAATGGCCATTTATGTAATGACATTTATGCTGTGGGCATTTTGCATAAACAACCATTCTGAAAAGTTGCACCTCTTCAGATTTCAGCCCAACTTTGGCTATAAATACAACACTATTCTGCTCAGAATTTCACTACGATTTTCTGAGTTTTCTCTCATTCTTCTGCATACTTTTAGCATCAAACAAAGTAAAAAGTAAGTGTGATTTGCTACCGAACTTTGTGTTCGCTGAAACACTGGGGTTTGAAGTACCATTACACCAGTGTGTAATTCGTTCTATCTTGGGAGTAAATAATCCATAACCTTGGGTACTAGGAGGGGATTAAATTCCTTAAGGAAACACTGTGAATTCAGTGGGCTCGAATTGGTTTTATGTCATTTCTGTTTATGTTCATTTCTGTTTATATTCATTTATATTTCCAGAATTATTTTACAAATACAGTCTACTAACAGTATTCACGCTGTTGTATTCATGAATACAATAGTAAAAAAATGTCTATAATTAGGGTTGTCCAGTTGTACGCACATGTATTCACATGTATTCGCGCCATGTATTCATGAATACAGTAATGACAATCACCTTAAAAATAGGTATGTCCAGCTGTCTAGGAGAGAGAAAAACATAAATAGTGTATTTCATGCCTCAATTGTAGTATATACAATAAATACTTATTTTGCTATAAAATTTAAAATGTAGCTATATAAAATAATATTTTTTAAAATAATTTTGATTTATGATGAATTGGGTGTATACCTTTTGCTATAGGAGGTAAAATTTCCCAAGATTAATCAATGAAAATGACCCTCCAAATCACTCAATTTTGGATAAATTTATTAACCCATGTATTTATTGATTCAATTCATTTCGACCCACATAAAGTTGGATTGAGTAAAACTATAAATTATAATGGACAAAGTACACTAGTAGCCACTTTTAACATATGCTTTTAAAATATATTCGTAATTTATAATATATTTGAAGATTAACCAATTTATCCAAACTTCATGACTAAGTATTCTGAATTTTTGAGTTGCTAATTTGGAATTCAGCACTTAGCATTCTGAATTTCTGAGCTGCTAATTTAAAATTCAGGAGTAATTGTCCTAATTTTTGAATTGCTAATTTAAAATTCAGGATCTAAGATTCGAATGTGTGGACAAAATTTTCGAACTTTAAGATACAATGTCTTGAAGTTTGAACTTTGAGGTTTAAACTTCAGGACGTTGTGTCCTAAAGTTTGAGCGAATTGACTAATCTTTCAATACATTATAAACTATGGATATATTTTAAACAACATGCTTAAAAGTGGCTACTTGATGTCATTTCCACCTAAATATGTAAGGATAATCAAGGAAAAATGACATTGTATAGTCACTCTCAAAATAATAGCCGAATAAATACATATATATATATATATATATATATATATATATATATATATATATATATATAAGTTATACAAATTTATCATGTCAATTTTTTTAATTTTTTTTGTTTGATATGTTATTGAGAAATAATAAAGAAAAAGAGTTTTTTTCATAATTAAATAAATTATAAAAAGACAATACAAGATATAAATAGGGGTATTATCACTTTTAGCATGTGCTAGAAACTATTTATATCTTGCAGTCGAAAAAGAGTATAAAACTTGTATAATTTTTGTATATAACATACAAAACATATGTATATACAAAAAATATATAAATTTTATATATTTTTTCGGCTATTAAATTTTACCGCGACTATATAGTGTCATTTTTCTTTAAAAAAAATGATAGTATTGTTTAGTTCATATTAATTTAGTCCATTTTAACTTGCTCTAAATTAGTCCAATCTGTTTCACACTCCTATTTAATAATGTATGTAATCTAGAGTAAATTTGAGCAATTCGAGTGAATTTACTCTTCCCAATTATGATACAGTAGTATATCTCTGTTAGGTGTTTAACATGTCCAACAAAGCAAAAAGGGGAGGAGAAACCAAGAGAAGTGAGAGGCAACAGATAAGAAGAGAAACAACAAGTGAAAATTTTGGAATTCCAAACAAAGTCCAAGATTCTTAACAATCAGGTTTGTCAAATTTTGTTTTCGAGCTTATTTATTCCCACTTCATAAACTGTAAATTTCATAGAATTCTTGATTTTCCTTTTTTTTTTTTTCCCTTTGCTCAATTGCTTGTGAAATGTCAGCTCTAATTGTTTGTTGTTAATTTCTTACACATTAGATACATATTGGGTTTAATTTAGAATGGCAAAATTGAACTAAAATTTTTGATTTTGACCCCAAATTCTACCTTCCTAATTGCAAATTCACGTAAATCTTGGTTGGTTTCATTTAGAATAGTAAAGTTTAGGTCAAAATATTGATCTTGTGCTCGTGATTTATTCTCATCCGCCTAAGCTTTAGTGGGTAGGGTTAACCGGTACATGTGGTTTGGGAGGTAGCAGGTACGGTGGAATAGTCGAGGTGTCCATAAGCTGCGATGAACATCACATTGATTTTGAGCTCCAACGGAACCCCCCCTCCCCCGAGGTGGAGCCAGGATTTAAAGTTTATGGGTTCTAAAATTGCCTCGGAACTCATAGATCGTCTTAGTTACTGGGTTCGCAATTAAATATTTGTACATATTTAATGAATTTCTTAATATAGATACAATGTTTAAGCAAAGTGACTCAGTTCGGCCGAACCCGCACCTATAAAGCTAGCTCCCGCCCCCAAACCCCTCTTTCATAATTGCAAATTCACAGGAATCTTGGTTTTCTCTCTTGTCTAATTTGCTCAATTGCGTTTAAAAACATCTACTTTAATGGAACTTATATGTGTACCGCGATCTCTTTATACTGATATCTCTACTGAAGTATGTTATAAGCTAAAGATGGTATTTTTTGCTTTCTTTGAGAATTTTACTTTTAGACAATATTTAGGTTTCCCTTATGTCTACTTTGTTCAATTTTCTGTAAAAACGTCCCAAGGGCTTTGGTCTAGTGGTAAGAGCACTTGTGATGTGTGGGTTAGGCACCCACACGTCACAAGGTTCAAACCTTGCTGTAGACAAAATCCTAGTATTTAAGTGGAGAAGGGTAGAAAGGCGGGCCTGTTATCCAGGTTTTGAACCAAGCACCACTGAACCTTGGGGATTTATCAGTTATCAAAGAATTTCTTGTAAAAGCATCAGCTTTATTGGAAGTTTTATGCCTAATAAAATTTCTATATACTGATATTTATGCTGTATTATGTTGAGCTAAAGATGGTATTTTTCTGCCTCCTTAGAGAATTTGGCATCTACACGATATTTGGATGTCATTTAGAGCTAAAAATTTACGAGTTTGAGATATATTCTCCCTTCATGGTTGGATATTAACATAAGTCTTGGTTTCCCTTCTCTTGGCTTTTCTCAACTGCTTGTAAAAAGATCAGCTTTAATGGAACTTATACTCCCAATAAAATCTGTTATATATTAATATTTTCACTGAATTGCATTGAGCTAAAAAATGGTATTTTCTGCCTTTTTAAAAGATTTTGCATGTTACACATGTTGTGTTCATTTAGAATAGCAAACTTGAGCTGATTTTCTCAAATTAACTCCTACTGAGCATAGACGGATAAAGGAGGAGCATACCAGTTGGTTGATGGCTAGTGAAATAATAGTCTACTATTGTGAATCTCTGAAATACTCTATATTTCTCAGTACTAATCAATGGTAGTCCAGTAGGTTATTTTGATTCTCGAAGAGGTTTAAGGCAAGGAGACCCTCTGTCTCCCTACTTGTTTCTTCTAGTGATGGTGGTGTTGAGTCATATGATTAAAACTGCTGTGAGAAGTGGATGGATAAAAGGCTTTAAAATGGAGGGTCATTCAGGAAATAGTATAGAAATTTCTCAGAGTCTTTATGCAGATGATACCTTGTTGATGTGTGAGGCTGATAGAGATCAAGTGCTTATCTTCAGGGTGGTTCTCATGGCTTTTGAAGCAGTGATGGGGCTAAAAATAAATCTGGTTAAGAGTTCAATGTAAATAAATCTGGTTAAGAGTTTAATGTTTTCTTTGAATGCTGACTGTGATATTAATATGTGAGCTCATATCATGTGTTGCAAGGTTGAAAAGTTTCCTACTACCTATTTGGGATTGCCTTTAGGTGCAAAATTCAAGGACAAATCTGTGTTGAATGGTGTAATTGACAAGTGTGAAAAAAAGTTGGCTCCTTGGAAGCAGTAAAACTTATCACTTGGGGGCAGATTGACGTTAGTAAACAGTGTTCTTGATGGAATCCCAACCTTTCTAATGTCTTTGATCCTTATACCAGCTAGTGTGGAGAAGAAAATTGATAAAATCAGGAGGCAATTTTTGTGGGAAGGTGATGCAGAAAGGAGAAAATATCATTTAGTAAAGTGGAGCATTGTGACAAAACATAAGAAAGAAGGGGGTCTGGGAGTTAGAAATCTTAGAGCTCACAATCAGAGCTTGCTATGCAAATGGCTATGGAGGTTAAATGATGGGACAAAAAGCTCCCTGGAAAGCAGTGGTAGAGGTGATATATGGAAAAGAGAGCTTCTTTGTACCTAAAACAGTGAAGACTCCATATGGAGTAGCTGTTTGGAGACAGATTTGTAACCTATGGGAGAAATTTAACATGTATGTTGGCTTGAGGGTGGGCAATGGGAAAAAAATCAGACTTTGGGAAGATAATTGGGATGCTTCTGATCTGCTGAAAATTCAATTTCCCAACCTGTACAGGTTGGCCAATAATCCAGAAATCCTCTTAGCTGATATATTTACTGATACGTGTTGGGACTTCCAGTTCAGAAGGAATCTCTTCGAAAGAGAAATGCATGAGGTTGATATTTTTATTCAGAAGATGCAATCAGTGGTGTTATGGCCAGAAAAAGAAGACAGCCTACTCTGGAAAGCTAGCAAAAAAGGTTCTTTTACTGTTAGTTCACTCTACAAAATACTAAATGCTACCCAGCCGGTGCAAGCACAAAAGTGGCCTTGGAAGATGATCTGGAAGAACAGTCCCAACAAAAGTGGCCCGTTTTGGTTGGCTAGTAGCCCATGAAGCATGCCTGACTCAAGAAAATTTGATGAGAAGGGGTTGGATAATGTGCAGCAGGTGCTACTTGTGTGAGAAAGCTTGTGATTGTGGACCATATTTTTGTGCACTGTGAATTTACTTGGCAGGTGTGGTCCATGTTCGCGGCTAACACCCTTTGGGCAAGTCCTAAGAAATTCAGGAATATATTAGAGTGTTAGGAATCTGCTTGTCCAGAAGCATCCTTAAAGAAGATTTGGAGAGATATTCCTCTTAGCATAGCTTGGACGATATGGAAAGAAAGAAATAATATGTCAAATATAGTTGTTTGCATTATTTGTACTATTGGAAAGATGGAAATGTTGTAATGAATTTTCATGATATGCTGGACATGCTAGACTGGTCTATTGGAAACAGCCTCTCTGCCCTATCGGGTAGGGGTAAGGTCTGCGTACACATTACCCTCCCCAGACCCCACCTGGTGGGATTTTACTGGGTAGTTGTTGTTGTTGTTGTTGCTGGACATGCTAGACTGCTTAGGATTTTAATGTTTTTATGCCAGCAGTATCTCTGTATTTTTACAGTATCAGCTGATACTGTTTTTAATAAAATCTTCACCTTTTCCAAAAAAAAAAAAGAAAAAAGAAGCAGAATGAGTACGGAGGACTTATATAGCCCATCCAACTAGTTTGAGATTGAGGTTTAGTTGATTAATTTATTGAAGCTCTTCCATAACATTTTGTTATGGTTTCTAATGAGGTCAACATCATTTTCTGGATACACTTGTATTGCTCAATATATTCTGTATGTTTTAATTCTTTCGTTTTGGCAGGGTCTGGCATTTAAGAACTTGATTATGGATGATATGCGCGTCTCTCAGACAAACACCCTGCACTGTCTTTCATGTGAAAATGTATTTTAATTTTTTACATTCAGAGTTCATTGAAGACATGGGGTATTCTATGAGTAAGTTGGAAGCAGACACCGAACTCTTGGATGGTTCAAGTTCCAATCACGGGGCTACTGGCAGTGCTCGTCACAACACACCATCACATTTTTTGGACCATGAAATTGCTCAGCTTACTAAACTTAGATCAGGACCCCATGAAAATATCAGTAGAATCCTACCTGGGAAAAGGGAAGTTCCTGTGTCCACATTCAAGATGCTAGCCGCCCGAGAAGCCAATTATTCCGGTAGAGGAAGGTTCTCAAAGGCAGATAGTTGTCATGTTCTTAGTAAATATTTGCCAGTAAATGGTCCTTGGATTGTAGACCAGATGGCAACAAGGGCTTATGTGTCACAATTTTCGGTAGATGGTTCCCTTTTTGTTGCCGCCTTTCAGGTATTAGAAGTAGTTTATATTTTATTTTACTGACATTGAGAAGATTAGGCATGGCACATGTTAACATTTTTGTCTTTTAATAAAAGTTAGAGTTACTTGCTACCTGTTGTTGGTTGGAGGTAGCAGGTAACCCGTGGAATTAATCGAGTTACGCGCAAGAACCTTTATCTGAGTTTTGTTGCTTTCTGATGCTTCTCCTTCATTGTTGTCTAAAACAGGGAAGTCATATTAGAATATATGACGTGGAGAGAGGGTGGAAAGTTCAGAAGAACATTCTTGCAAAAAGCTTGAGATGGACAGTTACTGATACATCTCTTTCACCAGGTCAACGACATCTTGTAAGTTTCTATGCTACAGATGAATCATGTTTACAACAACTACACTTCATCCCAACTGGATGAATACTTTCTATGCTACAGATGAATCATGTTTACAACAACTACACTTCATCCCAACTGGATGAATAGTCACTGACCATGTCTTTTCATTTAAACTCATCTCAGGCCAATATTATACAAAATAATAATAATATTAACAACAACAACAATAAAAGTTATAAAAGTTAATAATAATAATAATAAAAGTTAGAGTTACTTGCTACCTGTTGTTGGTTGGAGGTAGCAGGTAACCCGTGGAATTAATCGAGTTACGCGCAAGCTGGTCCGGACACCATGGTTAAAATAAGTACTAGAAGTTCTTGATATTTACTGACATGTAAATCTTTAAAAAGCTAAATTTCAAGTTTGGAACTGTAAAATTTTGCTATGGATCTTAAATTTGAGACATGTCACTTCATTAAGGAAATTGGTGAACTAAATTGGGTAGACCAAAAGGCAAAGTAGGTGAAGTGAATTGGCACACAATGAGAACACCTTTTTTTTTTTTGGTAAGGCACGACAAGTTACTATTAATTAGGGAGGTGAAAACAAATTAATTAGGTAGGTGAAATGAAACTAGTTCTATACTATGTGGTTATTTGCAAGGGATTGTTTATTTATAGAAGTTATCCTACTCATTAAAACATCAACTGTTAGTATTACACATGTCATGTTACATATTAAGTTTTGTTGTTATAAAGTACCATTTGTGTTGCTTTTGCAGGTATATGCTACCATGTCACCTATCGTACATATTGTAAATGTAGGATCTGCTGGGACTGAATCTCTTGCCAACATCACAGTATGGCTATCAATCTTTGTTTGTTTGGGAATTCTTATAACTCAGTTGCATAACAGTTTCAAGGGACTGCAATATTTTGCGGTTATCACTTAGCAAATCATTTCTAATCCTTTTTAGGCTAGGGAACAGACTGAATATATCCGTCTAGCGGATAATTATAGCTCCAGCAAGGCAGCAGTGGTTGTGCATTTTTAAGTTAAATGTTTCCATTATTTAAAGAATGACTTGTTTAATTCTTGAGGCTCAAAGTTCTTGTATTAGTTTTGGAATGATAAACTCATCTTTTTGGGGATACACAATATCTCTTTACGAACTATATAATAGTCTTGTATAGTGACTACTTCAAACTGACTCACTATTTTTTTTGACGATGCTTAATACCGACTTACTTGAATGCAGGAAATTCATGATGGTTTGGATTTGGCCGCTGACGAGGATGATTCTTTTGGAATCTTCTCTGTTAAATTTTCGACTGATGGTCGAGAAGTTGTTGCTGGAAGTAGTGATGATGCAATCTATGTTTATGATCTTGAAGCAAACAAACTCTCTCTTCGAATATCTGCACACGAAGTATGATTATGCTTATGATATAGATGTTTGTCACAAATCTCTTCTTGTTGAAGCAGCTATTTGTTAAAACTATTGCTACTACTACCCTTAGAATGGCACATCCGGTTCTGTTTGACAATTATGAAGCTAATACATATTCTTCTTGGGCTTGTTTTAGTAGTCACCGTTCTCTTTTCCTTGGAAATACAGTATCTTTTCGTTATTCAAAAACATATTTACCAGTTTAGGATTCTCATATATTTGCTTCTTTGTGGTTACACGAGATTTCAATTGTCTACTTTATGTTGATTAACTGAAATAATTTTCTGTTGCAGTCTGATGTCAATTCTGTATGTTTTGCTGATGAAAGTGGCCATCTCATTTACTCTGGAAGTGATGACAATCTGTGTAAGGTGATTCTCATCCTGTCTAGAAGTGCTTAAGAATCAAGGTTTCCTTTGGAAAGATGCTTATAGAAGATACTTGTTGAATTAATGACAAAGCTAAGGGGTAGTATTGGACTATGAAACTATGGCAATAGTCACTATTCATACTTATTTTTATTACCCTCTCCCTCCCAATTTATGTGACACTCTTTCCTTTTTAGTTAGTTTAAAAAAGAATGATTCATTTCTATATTTAGTAACAATTTAACTTTAAAATGCCCGTTTTACCCTTAATGAGATGATTTATAGCCACACAAATATCTACGGCTCATTTTAAACTACAAGTTCAAAAGTCTTCCTTTGCCCGGTCAAACATCGTCACATAAATTGGGACGGAGGGAACTATGTTTATATACATTACAAAACATTTGCATATATTGTGTATACCCTGTTCGTAACAAAATTAGCAGACCTCTTCTTGATTCTCTTATGACCAGTTATTTGAGTCTGGATAAACTTATATATGCATGCTTGACATAATATTTATTCATGAGTCAAGAACTTTTTGTTTTGTTTTTAAGAGTAATGAGCTTGTTGCACTGTATAGGTCTGGGACAGGCGTTGCTTTAGGGCCAAAGAAAAGCCAGCAGGAGTCCAGATGGGACACCTAGAAGGCATTACGTTCCTTGACAGTCGGGGGGATGGTCGTTATTTCATTTCTAATGGTAAAGATCAAGCCATCAAGCTTTGGGATATCCGCAAAATGTCTACTAAATCTACTTGGTATGCTTATTCTCTGGCTATGACTCTCCCTGATGATTTTTCTTCCTGTTGATCCATTTTTATGATTTTTTGGTTTACTAATTAGATCAAGGAGGTAGAAAATAGTAGAATACATGATATTCTATGAGCTTTGTTATTAGTAGATGAATCACATTAAATTCACCAAAACCGATTTTGAGACACTTATGACAATCTTTTTCTTCCCTTGACTCTGAATATCTTTGTGACTCATTTTTTGCTTGCTAAATTAGACATTACTTAGAAGTGTTTTCAAAAGCTTATGGTCTCTACACGGCTTTCATTGGGAACAATTACCAGACTCGAAAACTCAACATGATTGTGAAATGATTCTTTATGAATATCAATGTTCCACTTGATTACTTATTGATAGAGACGGAGCTAGGATTTCAACTTTATGGGTTCTGGATTTTGAACGATCACTTCAAGTGCTAATAACTGGGTTCTTAATCTACTATTTTATGAATTTCTTAACACAAATACGTTGTTTGAACAAAAGTTACTGGATTCGGCCGAACTCGTACTCGGGCTTCTAGCTCCGCCCCTGCTTATTGATAGTCTCAATCAGACTCATGTATTATCTTGTTTCAGCAATATGATGTTCAGGCATTATGAATGGGATTATAGATGGATGGACTACCCTCCTCAAGCTAGAGACTTGAAGCACCCATTTGATCATTCGGTAGCCACTTATAAGGGTCACTCTGTCTTGCGTACTTTAATTCGCTGCTACTTCTCCCCCGAATATAGGTTAGTGCTAAAACATGCTGCGTTAACTCTTCGTTTATCTATGGCAGCTTTCTGTTCCTGTTTGTTCAACTTGCTCACATATTAGTCAATCTAGTGTAATATATATTTAAATGTTTCTTGGCTTATGTTTTACAGTACTGGTCAGAGATACATTTACACTGGGTCCCATGACACTTGCATTTACATCTATGATTTGGTAAGTATGAAGCTATATATCAGCTTATTATTTCATTAGCCTTGTGTAGTGTCCTTTGTAATTGTACCTTTCATATATAGAGCATAGATAGTTGAACGTCTTTCGAAATGGTTGTGTTTGTTGCTCTATTTGAACGGATTTAAATAAAAAAATTTCGATTGTTCGATCATGAAAACATGTAGTTGCTCTACGATAGGAGAACGTAGACATTATATGCCCTTGTGGTGCTATTTTTGTGAAGTTTAGCTATTCTAATGGTGATGTAGTTTTAAGCAAATTACTCGCATTTGCTCGAAGTTGGTGAAGTGGAGCTTAACATATGGTTTTGCAGGATCAATTACAAAGGTCATTCAGCTTATAATATAATTCGGGTTAGGGTGTTTATTTGGATCAGGGAGGTTTTTAAAAGTTTAAAAGTAATTTTCTTAATAGGATAGGACGATTTCCAGCCAAGCCTTAACCCTTTTTTGTCTAAATGATATTCTAGGATATTTCATGAAATTTGAGTTGTTTTGTGGTTAGAAAATATATGTTTGATGATTTTCCTGCAATCATACTATAAGGGTTTTGCGTGACTGTAGTTTCTAAAATACACTTCATTTTGATATGTTTAATGTAATGATGTCGTGGTTTCTAGGTAAGTGGGGAACAAGTCGCAAAATTGGAGCACCATGGATCAACCGTTAGAGATTGTAGCTGGCATCCTCATTATCCGATGCTTGTTAGCTCTTCTTGGGATGGGGATGTTGTCAAATGGGAATTCCCAGGTGATGGAGAAGAACCAGTTCCTCCAAAAAAGAAGCCGATCAGAAGAAGACGTTTCGTTTAGATGCTATCTGCAATCTGGTATATTTTCAAAATCTATAGACTTATGGTGTTACACCAGCATGTATATTGACTGTGCCAGCGCCAACATTTTGATTTCCATATATTGTACATAAATAAAGGCGAACATGTACATTGTATTCTTTAATTAATAATCGTTTGGAAACTCTATAATGCAACCTGTGACTCTGTATGCGAGGCTCGTATGCAGAGTAAGCCAAAGAAAGTGTAAGGTTGTGCAAGAAAACGGATGTGCTAAGACGCAACGGCTTCTTGCATATAGATAAATTGAAGCTCAATTGTTTACCTCAACAGGAAGAATGAATTTGTGTAGCTCAACTAGATGGTACCTTCTGTATACAAGCAAATTCAGGAGTTAAATTTGATGAGTTCGACCTTTTTAATATTCTTAGCATTGAATTCATTGTACCTTTATATATATGCAGCAAAAGTACTAGGTTCGGATGAGCCTGCCTGCTAGCTAGGAGCTGCATCAACCACTACTTCTATAGATTGCTCAATTCGATAACCGTTATCTTTTTTTTTTTTTTCCTAGTTCAATAGTATGGGTATTTATCCTGAGTTATTGAGGTCGATTTCTAGATAGCACATGGGTGATCTATGATTTCATCAGAATCTCTCACATTATAAAAATGATCTTGGTAATAAATACTAAGCGATCAACTAGAGATTGGTTGAGCAATCATAAATAATAAATGAGTGATTTCTAGATAATATATAGGCAATCTATGGTTTTACCAGGATCTCCTACTTTGTAAAAAAAGATCCCGGTAATAACTAATAAGCGATCGGTCCGAGTTCATTTAGTCGATCATAAATAATACATGAGCGATTTCTAGATAACACATAGGCGATATGTGATTTCACCAAGATCTCCCACTTTATAAAAAAATGATCTTGGTGATAACAAATAAGCAATCAGTCGGAGATCATTAAAACGATCATAAATAATACATGGGCGATTTCTAAGTAATACATAGATGATTTATAATTTACTAGGATCTCCCACCTTATAAAAAATTGATCCGATAATAACTAATAAGCGATCAATCGAAGATCATTTAAGCGTTCTTAAATAATACATGAGCGATTTTAGGCGACACATAAGCAATCTATGATTTCAACGACTACATAGTACACGCCTGTTGAGTCAATCTTGGCTTTTGGAAATTGTACCCCTCTAACGGCTACATAGTACACTGATTAGTGATGCAAATAATAGTCAACAATAAAGTAATTGAGCAAGTAATTTTAGAGAAGAAAATTGCAGATAAATAATTAATAATTAAAAAAAAAAAGGAGAACACTAAATAACTTTATGTTATTGTCATTGCAAAAGTAGTATGTATATTGATGTAGAAAAGTAAGAGTAGGTGGACTTCTTCAAACCGTGTAGAGAAAGACCATTAGTATTATTTTCATAGTTCAACAACTGGCTTAAAGAAATAAGATAGAGACTTGGCCCAGAATTAAATTAGTTCAATTAAATGAGGCAACCCCACCTAAAATACCAAGAAAAATTCATAGTTTGCTTTGGTTGACTTATGCTTTTTTTCCGGTTACAATAGACCTGTTAAATGGATCGACCCGGCCCTGACCAGACCCCGAACCCGTTGATTCTTGACCCGTGGGTCCTTAACTGGGCCGGTTCGGTTCACTTTCTTATAGGGGCCGGACCAGATTTGACCAATTAATTAAAATATGTTGACCCGGCCCGGATCCGTAACTCGTAACCCATTAACCCGAGCCCTAATGGGCCGAATCCAATTTAATAAAACAAGTTAAAAACTAATAAATGATAAAAATTTCAAACTTTTTACATATATGCGAACTTGAAATTACTACATGTCCTTAAGACAATTAGAATAAAAATGAAAAAAAACCATACTTTATTAACATTAAGACTTGAGAAACATATGGAATTTGACTATTTCTATAACTAATAATCTAAAACATATGGAATTGACTATTTCGACAAGAAGCCTCATAGTGTTTAGCTATGTTGAGCGGACTCTCCAAAATGTAGCCGCACCCGTGTCGGATCCTTCACAAATGCACTACTTTTGGAGGATCCGACACGTATCCGGCCACATTTTCGGAGAGTCCGAGCAACATAGGTGTTTAGTACTATATTCTTTCTTCAATGTTTGGATTCAATTTTTTACCACTTGTCTGAATATATATATGTGTGAGCTGGTCCAGGCCGGTTGACCCGTGGGTCAGTAACTGGTTCAGGTCCGGTCCGGTTTCAGTGGGTTAAATTAATGGGTTGGTCCGATTAGGGTTTCGTGGGTCATGGACCGGTTAAAGGGTTAATTTTAATGGGTTATGTGGACCGATTCGTGGGTCGACCCGGCCCATTTGACTGGTCTAAGTTACAACAAAAAAAAGAATGGAAATTTCTTGTTTTAAGATATTAAACTTCAAAGCAGAAAAATGATCCATTGATGGAGGACAAGAAAGCTTACTCCATAGCCATTTCATTGGTGATTCTGTTGATCATAGGCGTCGTTATTGCTGGGATAACGCTTAAACTTACAGAGACTTTTTTCCTCATATGTGGAGCTGATGTTGCAGCCATTGTTGCTGTCTTTGCTTTTGTTATAATCCGAAGGAAGTTCAACAGCAGGAGGCAATTACTAGAAAAGCAACTCGATTCAGATGGACGCGAGTTGAGGATAGAGTATAGTTTTCTTAGGAAAGTTGCAGGGGTTCCAACAAGATTCAGATTGAAAGAACTGGAAGAAGCAACCGATAACTTTGGTTGGTTAGTAGGTCGTGGATCATCGGCTTGTGTTTTCAAGGGCATACTCAGTGATGGTGCAGCAGTAGCAGTTAAAAGGATTGAAGGAGAGGAGGAGCGAGGCGATAAGGAATTTAAATCAGAAGTTGCAGCCATTGCTAGTGTCCAACATGTTAACCTGGTACGTCTATTAGGGTACTGTAGTGTTCCCCCCTCGGGGCCTCGTTTCTTGGTTTATGAATATGTTGTTAATGGATCACTTGATAATTGGCTTTTCCCTCGAAGGAAAATCCGAGATCGTCCTAGTGGCTGTTTGTCATGGGATTTAAGATGCAGAGTTGCCTTAGATGTCGCTAAGGCACTTTCCTATATGCATCATGATTGTAGGTCATGTATTTTACATCTTGATGTCAAGCCTGAGAATGTTCTTCTTGATGAGAATCACCGTGCCATTCTCTCGGATTTCGGGCTATCAAAGTTAATGGGGAAAGACGAGAGTAGAGTTGTCACAACCATTAGGGGAACTCGAGGCTACTTAGCCCCGGAGTGGCTTTTGGAGAACGGGATTTCTGAAAAAAGTGATGTTTATAGTTATGGAATGGTACTTTTGGAATTGATTGGTGGGAGAAGAAATATTCGAGCTGTTGATCAACATCCGGACAAGTCAAAGGCGAAGAAATTCATCTACTTTCCCAAGATTGTGAGTGAGAAATTGGCACAAGAGAAAATCATGGATGTTGTGGATGAGAGGCTCGTTGATGAGGTCGTTGCAGGAGGAGAAGTCGCGGAAATACAAGTGAAAAGATTGGCGTGTGTGGCGTTGTGGTGCATCCAAGAAAGGCCTCGGCTTAGGCCAACCATGGCACGAGTCGTAGAAATGTTGGAAGGGCGTTTGCCCATAGACGCGCCTGCACAGACGACAATGCCAATCGCTGACCTATTAGCAAACGACGAAGATCTTGATCATCATCCCCGGCAGCCTGCTGCTAACCTTTCTTCTGATTCCACTTACTCTTTTACAATGTCTGTTCTCTCAGGAAGGTAGTACACAGGCTACATCTTGGATTGTATCTGCTTCCTTCATTCTGCTTTTGTTTACACCAAATTATAAAAATACACAGGGATGTTGTTGTTGTTGATTGCTTTTTTGGGATCCATCCATGAGGATAAAGTATATGCATTTTGCGATAAAAAAGGGCAGCCTGGTGCACTAAGCTCCTGCTATGCGCGGTGTCCGGTGAAGGGACGAACCACAAGGGTCTATTGTATATAGCCTTACCTTGCATTTCTGCAAGAGGCTGTCTCCACGGCTCGAATTCGTGATCTCCTTATCACATAACAACAACTTTACCAGTTACGCCAAGACTTCCCTTCACACATTTTGCGATAACAGTGTTAAATTAAGTGGACTTCAAAATATTCATTTGATCCAAGTACTAATGCATGGCATCTACATTCAAATTGAAATCAAGTTTATGGCACCTGATCTCCTTAGTCTGAAATTGTGTTTTGCACTTTTCAGCAATGTGTACAATTTCAGCCAAGGTATATGCATGAGTTTTTAAACCATTGAACTCATATACAAGTACTAATAACATCAGATGAATGATCAAATTAACAAGATGTTTAAATCTCCCCTTACACGTGATTCTCTTAATGACTACACTGTGGATATTATTGTTGTTGTTGTGATGTTCTAACACTTTTCCTCGAAGAAAAAGATAAGATTGATGTAAGATCGTGCGTTAGCACTCTTGCAACAAACTGATGCACTAAGACACCGCGACTTTCATGCAGCTGCTACGCCATTGCTTCCTCCATACATATAAATTGAAACTCAACCGATAACCTCAACAAAAATAATGAATTTTCATAGCTTGACTAGATGGTATCTTCTGCAGATGGCTCAATTTGATTTGTCCAAAAATTGGTGGACGGAGTTATCCAGTACTGAAACACAACTCAAATGAGTGTAGCCAGCAATTGAACCACAAATTTATAATAGAATTTTACTAGCAATTAAACTATGCATGAATGTTAAGCTTGAAAAGTGAAGTGTCGAGTAGGAAAAACATAGATTTACTGAATACAAATTTTGCAATAAATAAGCCCAAAACACAGAATCGTCGACAGCAGGGTTCGAACCTGCGCGGGCGAAGCCCAACAGATTTCAAGTCTGTCTCCTTAACCACTCGGACATATCGACCTTGTTCTTATTAGATGGCTACGTAGTTTATATTATATATTTTTAATGAAAGTCTTCTGAAAATTTTGCACCTATTAAAAGAAGTTTATTTGTTCTTTAATGTAGTCTCAGTTCATAGTTGTCGACTTCGTTCCTTATAGAATAATCAATGCTATTGATTTGACTCCATACCAACACCTTTTTTTCATTTTAGAATGCTAAGTGATTTCGTAACTTGAAGTCATTTAGACTCCTATACACTCCAAAAAAGATAAAAAAAAATAAAAAAATCAGAGATGCGAAAACCAAATATGACATATTTAATAGGATAAAAATGTGACTATATCACTACATATATCTTAAATACATTTATCTTATTCATAGTCCAGAGTCCAGACACTCCATCTTTTGTAACCATCTTATTCAAAAACTCTTTATAAATTATCCCTAATAAAAATAATTGATCTTGATTTTTCTTCAAGCTGCTAATTGCAATTTGCATTTCTATAATCAAGTTATTCCAATCAATTTCACATAAAACGCCAGGATAATGATTCATTTTTTTAAACAAAGATCACATATAATAGGAACTTTTGGCAGTTCAAGAAAAGATTGAGTAGTAGTCGATACTGAAAATTGCCAAGGAACATGTTATTATTACTTGTTTTCTTTGTCTTGATTCCCTATTCATGTATATATAAGCAACGGCGGTGGCAGAATTTTTTCACTAAAAAGAGTCAAAATATAAGAAATTAAACACACAAAATGTCCAAGAGATTCAACTATAGTATATATACATACATTAAAAGGAAATTTACTGAGCAGCCAGTGGCAAAGCCTGAAAATTCAATAAGGATGTTCACCCTTTGTTAGTGGCAGGGGCGGCTCAAGAAGATCGGTGGCCTAAAGCCAATTTTTAATCTGGGGCCTTTCAAAAGAAAATAATAATAATTCATCTATATTTTTAATTAAAGTCTATTTTTCTAGCTTTTTAAAATGTCAAGTTGTTAATAGTTTCTTTTTATAAATAATAATTTAACTTCTTCTAAGATATTGTTGATCATAGATAATAGAACCATATTCAAGAAGTTGATAACTTGATATCGAAATAATTTTTGATGTTCTAATATACTTGTTGAAACGCTTGAAACCTGAGGGGAAAAAAGAATGCGAATATAGTTTTATTCAACGGTACTCTTCAACTCTTGTATTTTTATAGAAAAAATAAAACTCTTTTCTTTCTACAGAGAACCGTATAACTTTTAATTGGAAAAAGAGAATCACTACCCTAAACCCTTGTCGCGAAAATAACATTTTTTATTATTTAAATTTTACGATTAACATAATTAGTGAAGTACCTATATTATTATTGTCCTTTTACATTTCTCACTAAAACGTGTAATAAGCTTTTAGAATCCGTTTTTTGGTATCTTCAATAGTCCAAATCTTACTTTTTATCTTTACCTTTTATAAAATATTTTACTTTTTTATTTTAAAATACCCAATATATTTAGACCATACCTCTAAAGATTGGTGTGAGATGTATATGATCTAACTTACCTTAATTAGATATATTGGGTTCGAGTCTTATGGTTAAACAAATCCTGTTAAAATGTGTTCTCTTTTTTACTAGGCCTTACGCGGTACGAATCTAGATTAGTCGGGATCTCAATACAAGTACGTGTAGAAAACAAAAAGAAAAATTTGGGGCCTCCAAATTTGGGGGCCTAAAGCCTTTGCTTTAGTGGCTTGACCCTTGGGCCGCCCCTGGTTAGTGGGATGTGCAGACGTGTTCAAAGTCTATTATTTCATCAATAATAAATAATATTTTACTTTTCAGCGAAGAGTGTCTAGTTGACCATCCTTGACCACACATAGCTTCGTCCCTACTAGCAACACAGTGTAATTTTTCGCAAAAGGGTATCAATTGACACCCCTTGGTTAAAGGTGGCTCTGCCATTGAATATAAAAGGAAAAAGAATGCTCAGGTTCGAGCCTTGGAAATGAAGAACTACTTAGTAGAGAGTGTTTTACCGTTGAGTCTGTATACCCTGTACGAATCTGGATTAATCGAGCCAGTGAATTTTGAATACTGAACATCTAAACCAAAAGAAAAAGGGAAAAGAATGACTATACCTGATCCAATTGTTTTGGAAGAGGTAATGAACCAATTGATATTGTTGCCTTTGACTTGAACTTATTATATAAAGTTGGACAAGTTTAGGGATGTATATTTATGCAACTGCTGCCAGACACTAATCTATCGGAGTCAGTGAGTTCAGAATGAAAGTCTTTTATTATTTATATATATTTTGGATTTTTTTTTTACATATGTATGCCTAGTTCGAACTGGTTATAATGTCTTGGCTGTTTGTTCATTATGGGAGCTATAATGATATTGACATTCCTTGTTCTAACTATTATCGTTGCTCGACTGTTTGTTCCTTGTAATCCAACAGCTAATGATAGAGGCTAATCTAGAATTTTAATTTTATGGGTTCAATATTTAAAGTTTTTAGTATTGAACCCATTTTATTTTAAAATTATGAGTTCATATCTACTATTTATCGTAAATTTAGTGAATTATTAGGGAGAAATTCAAAAATAACCAGATTTACAAGTGGTCGTTCAAAAATAGCCTAGTTTCAAAAGTAATCGAAATCTAGCCACTTTTATGTAAAGATAAATTTGAGCGAAAACAGTGTTCAAAATCCGGAAAATACGCCAGTATATTATGCTGGAGTTCCAGCATAAGTATGCTGGAACTCCAGCATAATATGATGGAGTTCCAGCATAAGTACACTAGAACTCCAGCATAATATACTGGAGTTCCAGCAAAGTATATCGGTCCAGTATAATATGCTGGAAGTTCATACACAGGTGCACCGAACTCCAGTATATTATGCTGGACCGGTCTCTGTTGCAACAAAATAGTGGCTATTTTTCATTGACTTGGTAAACGCCGGCTATTTTTGAACGACCAGTCCGAAAATTGGCTAGACCGTGCTATTTTTACGAATTTTACATATAAATTTATGCTCCGCATCGAAAGTACTGTATTCAGTTGAACCCAATAGTTGTACGCTGCATCCGCCCCTGGCTAATGATATGTGTTGGACTAGCAGTTGCCTTCATTATAGGAACTATGATGCAATGGATGGATGTTGCATGGCATTTTTACAATATATTTCAACCCCAACTGCTTCGATATTGAGGAATAGTTGATTGATTGATTCGATACCAAAATATCTGCAGGCAAAAATAGGATATTAGAAGGAGTTTGTAATTGCATTGCTTAGACTTCGTGGTAAAGATGCTGAGGAGGCAGCTGAAATCCAGGTCCACGGTTTATAACTCATAACATTGTCACGTCTTAAACATTTATTATATTGAAGATTCATACAGCCGACCCCAACTTCTGGATTATTTCGATTATATTGAAGATTCATAAAGTCCGATCGTTTGATTTGTTTCAACGAAGATACTTAAGTTCACTCATAGTAAAGTTCTTATTTTCATATACTCTCTTTCAACATTTTCCATCTCAGTTCTGTGGATATTTAGATACTTTGTTCCTAAGGCTTGATGTACTGAGGGCTATCGGAAACAACCTTTCTATCCTTACAAGACAAGGGTAAGGTCTGCGTGCACACTACCCTCGTCAGACCCAACTTGTGGGATTACACTGAGTATGTTGTTGTTGTTATTTCCTAAGGCTTGACGGATAAATATTGATATTTACCTAAATTTGTTTTATTTTCCAGGTTATCATAACTGCTTTTAGAGCAACTTTAATAGACAAAGCTGGAAGAAAACCTCTATTATTGGTATATCTCGAAATAGGAAGCCAATTGCTTGAAAATATTTGCCATTACAATTGCTAATAAAATGGTACCAATCTAATGTCTTTGTTGTAGGTCATACTCAATGGCGGAGCCAGAATTTTTGTTAAGGGGTGT